CAACAGCCGGGCAAATTTTGGCAAAATGTTTTCAATCGATAATCGATGTCCAGTTCGCGTGGTTGATAATCATTATTAGCGGAACAATGATCGCACATATTCTGCGTATATCAGAATCTTCGTACTCAAAACCATCTATATTTATCATATATGTTATACATTAGCTAAATACTTAAATATTTCATTCTATAACCACCTAAATCAGGATCAAACCTCCTTCAGAGCCTTCATCCAATCGTTTACATGCATCGTTATATCCACGCTGGCAATGCCTTTCTTTAGAAGTTTTGCGTCGACGTTCACAGTTGGTTCCATATCAGATTAACTTCAACAGCTTCCAAACAATCGATTTTATCTAAATCACCATAGTCCCCTCCAATATCATAATCGAAATCCAGGTCATCGCCGGTAGAATCGTCTTGAGAATAATGCACTATCGGTCTAGACAATCTGTTTTAATGTTAAATTAAAGACGCTTGCAAACTCGTTCTGAACAAATAACGACATTACATTGACGTTATACGCGGAAGGGATTATATCGAAGTCATAGAATGATCTCGGTCCGTAGAAAGGATTATAATGAGAGCGTATCAATTACGGAGATCAAAAGATTTTTCTATGAAAAATAATATTGGAATAATATTTTCTGAGTTTAGGATAAATTCATTTTGCAGAAAAATAAATGCAAGGCATACTATTACATTTAAAATGATATACTATTGCTGATTAAATTGCTTAATATGTTTCACCTAATATTACTAATTAACAAGACCTGGTATGTCGTTTTGAAGGTTTTTCCGACAATTCGGATCTACTCGGGCCTTGCTCAGGCGATTCCATTTGTCCGGTTTGTTTTGTTGCCGTTGCGGCCGATGTCTTCCGAGTCCACGGTGGAACCGGCGAACCGGAATCAGAGCTCGGAGTATCTATTTCCGGAGCGTTAGGTACCTCTACAGATTCATCGAAATCTTCGTACATTGCTAAAAGCACCTAGTCACCATATAATGGACTCAAATGGTAAGTAAATGGAAATGACCAGAACTTATACTACAATATAAATAAGATACGACCAAAATAATAGGGAACTTTGCATACGACCAAATTCAAAATCTTTGGCATAAACTATAATATAAAAAAGATGATAATTTAGTATTATTCTTTGCATACGACCAAATCCACATACTTCGGTAAAACCTTTAATATAAGAAATATGATAATTTATCATTATTGGACTTTAGAGAAAGTGAATAAGTAGAGTGAGCGAGATGGTGAGCATGTGAGTAAGAGAGTAAGTGAGTAAGATAGTGAGTAGATGACTATGTAAACAAGTGAGTGAGATTATAAGTGAGTAAGGGAGTAAGTGAGCAAGAGAGTAAGTGAGCAAGAGAAAAATTGAGCAAGAGAGTAAGTAAGCAAGAGAAAAATGGAGCAAAAGAGTAAGTGAACAAGAGAGTAAGCGAACAAGAGAGTAAGCGAACAAGAGAGTAAGTTAACAAGAGAGTAAGCGAACAAGAGAGTAAGCTAACAAGAGAGTAGGTTAGAAAGTGAACAAGCTATCAGTAAAAGAAATAGGCATATAAGTAATTGAGTAAATGAGTAAGTGAGTAAAAACAAGTATATATTTGAGTAAGTTTTCAATTAGTGCCAGAAACGTGTTAAAATATACATTTATCCAATCATTATATATCTATTAATCGTGCGAATAAAACGCCTATTAAAGTATGATAGTATAAACAGAGTAATTCAAGAAAGAAATTATGGGCATTTTAAAATCGTTTGCTGTAAAACTACCCATTTGCATATAAGCAAGCACGCTAGAATTTGCATACGCCCCAGAAAAATAAACACAATCTTGTGAAAGCTTTGTTATGTTTGAGAAAATATTGCAATGAATTCTTTTATTCGCTTAATAAAACATTGATAAAATCATAAGCAAATAAAAATTGAGTCTTTTACTGAAAAAATGATGAAAAACTAATATTTATTTATTTTATTTAATAAATCATTTTGTTACCTGTAATATCTGGATAAATTACTTTACTCTTTTGAAGTTTAGAATTGATTTATAATATTGATGAAAATTATTATGTCATTTGGCATTTAGATTTATTTCGAAGTAATTCATTTGTTTTTTATATTCTTGAACAAATACGTGAATATGGATACAAATGAAATCTAATAACTTCGGCTATATATTTAATTATAAAATATATGATGTCGTTATGTGACTTTAGATGCAAGTCGTTTTTAGATGTATAAATATCTGTAAAGTAGTTTTTAATGCACATTGAATAAATGACTTTAATACAATTATAATGAACTTTCTTTATTATAGACAATCAACTCAATACGATTGAAGTAGTGAATAAAGTATTTTTGCTTTTTATTTTGTCAAAAAAAACTTGACCAATGAATACTATATCGCATAAATCACTAGCTTTTTTAAATTAGCATAGATTTTTACAAACTTGCAGCTAATATGTATAGAAATAAAAACTAAATTATATTTACTATAAATTTTTTACTATCAAAAGTAACTTAAAATTTACTACCAATAAAAAGCGTAATATTTTCTCCGATGGAATTTTCAGCGTAGTGCAAAAGCTAATTCAAATGCAATTATTGTGATTAATGTAATGAACAACGGCATTTGCCGAAATTAAATGAAACTAGAAATTCGTAATTTAGTGTGAAGAGCTAAATAATCCATCACTGCTTTTATACAATTAATTTCTGAACACTGAAGTAGTGTTTTTTGTGAATATAATAATATATGGTTTAATCAAAACCAGTGAAGCAAAAAACGTAGGAATGCATTTTTTACTGCAATTTGAATGCATTGTTAAATAAAAATTGATAATTGTAATAAATAATAATAAATATATTTATAAATAATGCTAATAACTAATAGGTAATAAAGGCATGATTATTATTGATGATCAATACGAGTAAGTGATTTTTCATGCACTGGTATATATAAAATTGCATTAAATATAAAAAGATAACACTTTCCGAATTAATGCCCTTAATTTATAATGCGAATAGCAAATTCCTGCGCAACTTTATAAACCATATATTTCAGTTAAATAAAATTGCAACGCCACTATGCATTAGGTAAGGAAACTTTTCTGCAACGTCCATCAATCACTTGATTGTTATCTCGCCTGAACCGAAGCAGACCGACGGAAAAATAGCTAATTACTTCGCAATACATCTTTGTTAGTTTATTTTTTGTCTAAACAACTAACACTGAAAATAATGATAGATTATCATTCAATAAATACTTTTGGTATGCTATTATACATTACGCCAATTAAGACCCCAAACAGCTTTTATTTACATACTATCTGACTGTCACAAGCACGTTTTATATTCGTACACGAATATTTTTCATGAAAACAGACATAAGATTTGAGAACGTGGTATATTCATAACAACATCATCATCCATCACGTGTTCATATTAAAACACAATATAACACCCAGAAGTAAAATAAAGATAAATGTTGTTGTGTATCAGAATTCTAACGTAAATCTTGGTGTGATAAATCAATCTACTTATACAAAACGTATCTAAAAAAAAGCACGTAGGCGCGCGATACAATCGTGAAAAATTGTAGCTTATAAGAATCCTTATAATCTACATATGAAATCGAATACGTAAAAGAAAATATTTTTGTATGTGACGATGAATGAAAATGACAATATGTTTATTTCAAACAAAGATGGAAAACTGTGTTATATTTCTTTACGTCAAGCACGAAAACTAGAATTTATTTATGTAAATACCTTATATAAAATAATGAACACATAGCAAATATGAATAATATTCAATAATAGAAAATTATACTCAAGGACGGTTAGCAAACCAAGTATTATTATGATGATTTTAATTTTGATTTAATATTTTTAATGAACATCTAAGAAACGTTATCACTGCTCGTAAATAAATCATAATTCACAGTGGCAAAATTTTCAACCAAGGTATACCAGGACACATAAAAACATCCCAAACTGTTTATATTTTTTATTTATTTAATTTCAGCCTATCCTTAAATATTATATTATTTTATTAGAATTTTCTTCATGATATATATGAATAATGTATTTTTCTTAATTTTAATTTAGATTTTTTATTATAAAAAATATCCCAAAATTTGAGGGTAGGCTTTATTTTCCTTAAAATATAGTAGTTTAACACATTAATTGTTAATCTAGTGTTGCTTAGACTTCTCCCTATGCTAAACATTTTTATTCGTGCAATATAAAAAAGAACCATTTCTGGACATGTTTAGCTAAAAATTAGAAAATAATGGTATTAAAATTCAGAAAATAATACTCTTTCTGTTTAAAATAATCACAGTACAAAATTTTAAATCAAACTTTTTTTTTAACTAAAGCGCTACTTTGAAGTGCATGAAAGACGGACGCACCAGATTTGTTTGGCGCCTGGCTGTTGACAATGGTCTCACGCAACATATGCGTGAGCAGCAGTAAATGTGTTAAATAGCAGATAATCATCACAGATTTGTACGCACGACGACTATACTTGTCAAAACACACAATTTTGCCAATTTCTCATGACGAGTATAAGTACCTACCCATGCATCACAGTTAACAATTAATTTAATTGGACTGATTTGAAACTTTATTACCAAAATCTAAAGCAAAATCAACTTAATTACCTAATATGCAAACACCTAATGCAGATTAAAAAAAATCGCTCGTTTCCTCTCAGGTTGTTTACATGTCAGCATAATATCCTTGTAAAAAGCTTTTCAATCTCTCAAGCAAAATGCCAGTGTCAAAAAAACGTTTTCGGTGTTTTCTGGCGTCCTCATCCGGCAATATATTGTGACGATAATCATAATTATCGTCGTATTGATAATTATTGTCGCCTGATAGTCGTCAACCCCAGGGTACGGGACCATCCCTACCACTACCCCTAACTACCTATTGGTTCTTGGGGTCCATCAGAGAGACGCTCCGGAGATCCTTGCAATTAAGAAGTAACAGCCATCTAAGACGTATCCCATAGGCAAACGCCTTGGGATACGTTAGTGTTAGTTGTGTGTGTGTTGTGCAACAAGACTGGTCCAGCTTAAAGGTCAGATAATGTAAATTATAAGTTGTAGCTATTCTCCCCTCATATCTCCATATATACCATGATATAAGAATAAGTGGTATTAGTTAGGGAACATGACCGTATGCAAGTACGGTTATGTTCCACAAATACATGCGGAATGTATTATTAATTATTTTAATAGATTTTAGTTATAAAAGTAATCTTGGTTTCATTCGTATAGTAGCTACTAACCCCCACAGGTAATTACAGGTACTTTAGCGGGCGATTGGAGTGTTGAAGTAACCCCTTCGTAAGGGGATTGCAAGGCTAGAATATAATATTTGGCAGCCATTGCATACCCCTAGAAGGGGGCTTCAACCCCCCAATTGTCACAATGGTGAAAACGCATTCGATCCCCAACTTACAAATTTTTATTTTATATTTAATAATATTTAATAAAAAACCAAGCGAGTAGCTCCCACTGTTTACGTGTTCGGTTGTATTTTAATGTGTTCATAATTCTTATAAAAGTTTGTAGGAATAAATCAAATTTTAAACGTCGCGCAAATTCTTTATGCTTGTGTATTTTCGTATGTATATTGCTACATGTGTTTATCTGTAGTTAAGTTTCTTAAAAGCGCGTATCCCGATATTTTAAGATTATAAATCATTGATTTGATTTTAAATAAGGCGTGAGTGTGAAACTTTATTAGTTGTTGTATTTTAATGGATTTGTTAAACTTTATTATACTTTTCGCGGTTTTTTTTGGTGCTTTGCAAATAGTTTTGAATATTCAATAGTATAAAATTTATAAAATAACAAAATTGTATTTTTTTTCTAATCGAATTCAATTTTAATTCTTGCTCTATTAAGTTAATTATATTTTTGTCTCCCCATTTTTGTTTTACAGTAT